AGTTGCTCCGTGACACTGTTTTTGGCAGGGTACAGGTCTTCTTCGGCTCCCTGCTAGGAAGACCTTTCTGGTTTGTAAAAACTCAGATTGACCCTGGTGGCCAGGTGGCGTCGTGGCCACCAGTCCCGCCTCCCCTGGCCCTGCGTGGGCTAGTGCTCGGGCCGGGGGTCGATGCCTACTCGGGGAGAAGAGAAAAACAGGATCTACCAACTGGTTCTGGCGCAACGATTTCTGAAAAATTATTTGCTTTATGGGGGAGATAGTTATGAATCTCATTTTATGCTGTATTTTATATCTTAGTTGTGTTTGAAAACATTTTGATTTTTGGAGACACGTCAAAATAAATAGTGGCATTTGTTGTATGCAGTGTGATCCTCTGGTGTCGTCCAGCCAGGTGGGGACTGGCCAGGGCTCTCCTCGGTGCCCCCTCCGGGGTCCCTGCTGCTTCCTGGGGGTGGGGGTGAGACCCTGACATCCGCGGGTCAGACCCCCCCCGGCCCGGCCTTCTGGGGCAGCAAACGAGGAGTGGATGGACATCCCACCAGTTGGGAGGACGCGCGGCGGGCACCTCGAAGAGGAACATGGCGTGCATGCCGGGAGGGTTCTCGAAAGGCTCTCAAGATGCGTTTTCTCCAGCGACTTTCCATTAACCTGACTGTTTGAAAGAGCTGAAGCTCTTAGGTTTGCAGTGATGACTCTTGGACTTCTTTTTCAACGAGCCGGACTGCTTCTGCGGCACAAACAGAGAATCCCGATCAGTGGAGGCGTTCTGATCTGACGCAGGGGTGCTGTAAGCCCGGCCCCCGCAATCCCGGCCCGCAGAGAGGAAGAGGCTTTAGTGGAAACTCCTGGGCAGCAAACCAGGAAGCAGCCCCCCGCCCCCATTAGAGCAGCCTCTCTTAGCGTATCGTCAGCTTGAGATTTCGGTTGTGAGAAAGGTGTTTTTTTAAAGAAGCTGAAACCATAGCTAGAAGCAGCCGCTGCCACGCCGGCAGCCCTGGGGGTGGCACCCCACCTTCCCACGCTTGGGGACCCGCTCCCGGCCCACGGCCTCGCTGTCCCCAGGGCCCGTCTCTCTGCGGCGTCTTGGCTTCTCGTCCTCATCCCCTGTCAGAAAGCCATCGGTGCTGTCCCCGTGCTCGGTCCCTCCCAGGTCCTTTTTGGTGAATAGCTCGGCTGGAAGGAGCAGAGGTTTGGGCCGTTTTAGGTCGAGTCCGCCACCCGTGCCGGGGGTCAGCCGGGCCCAGGACCGGAGGACACACGGCGGGAGGGAGCTGCTCACGGCTGACAGAAACGGAGCGGACGGTCGCAACCCGAATCCAGAGGATGGGCAGGGAGAGGGGGCGCGTCCCGGCTTACGTGGGTACAGGTCTGTCATGCTGTCGTCACTGTCACTTGGGGCGGCGCCGTCATCGCTGGACGCGGGTTCCCAGAAGGCTTCTCTAGGGCGGGGCGGCCCGCCACTGTCCTGCCGGGCTCCCCTCCTCCTACACCTGCCGCCGGCACAGGCGGGCACGAACTCCACGCGCTGCTTCTGGCACTCCTCATCTGGGAGACAGACGCGCACGCTGCCCGGTTCCCGCCTCGTCTCCCCACAGCCCTCCGGGAACGGGAAGAGAGCTGAGCTCTGCCAGGGCCCCCAGAACCCTCCCCCCACAGGTAAGATCGGCAGAGGAAGGCGAGCGCCGCCAGCCGGGTTCCTTCCGGGAGAGCAGGGGGGCGCGTGGGGACGCGGGCCCGGGGCAGGAGGGTGGCGAAGGCCTCCCTCTTCCCCGACTAGGACGCGCCTGGAGCATCTGTTCTCTGGCTCCAGCCAGCTACGGCTGGGAGGGCGCTGAGCGGGCACAGGAAGCCGGGCCAGCCTGTCCCCCGGAGACTGAAGTCCCCTCAGGCACAGCGGCCAGGACCCCCGCTGGATGGCGGGGCTCAGCGGAAGTTGGTGCCTGGCCCTTGCCGACTCTTGGCTCAGAGCAGAGGGCGGGGACGAGGCCTCCACGGAGAAGCCTCGCTGGAGCCACACCGGCCCCTCCTGCACCGAGGACTTGGGGCAGCCGGCTGCTGGAGCTCGCCCTCCATCGGCTCTCACTGTCCCCCAACTCCGGCCATCGTCACTCACGGGGTGGACGGGCCCTGCTGGGCCCCGGCTCTCTCGTCACCGCCCACCTGCGGGGCCCCATCCCCGGCTGCCCCTCTGCCGCCCCCTCCACGGCCGCACAGCGGCCCTGTCATCAGCAGAGCGGAGCCTGCGCGTGGCCAGGCGCCCCGGCCCGGCATCGGAACCGCTCCCTACTCGTGGGGAAACGCAGCCCCTTCCCGCCCTCGCCGAGCAGCTGAGCGCGGCTGCGGGAAGCAAGGTGCCCGGGGACCCCGTGTCCTGCCTCCGCAGGCCCCTCAGCGCCGCGCTCGCAGCCTCACCTCTTCACCGGGAAGCAAGGCCTCCGGGCTCGTCCTCCTTCACCTTCCTTCCAGTCCCCAGGCCCGCCCAGCCGTTCCCCCTGCCCCCGCCTCGCTCACTCGCGGGGAGGCTCGAGCCTCCTGGCCCGCTCTGGCCTGGCTCTGTCGCCACCTTGCCACCTCAGCTGCCTCCGTCAGATCTCGGCTCACTCTTCCGTCCGCACCTGCCCTTCGGGGCCGTCTGACGAGGCTACCGCTTCGTCCCTGCGACTCCTCTCTGCCTCAGACACGACCGCATGGGGCTCCTCTGAGCTCAGGCCCGGCCCTGTCACCCAGCTCCGCGGGATGCAGACGCCGTGTGTGTGTCACTGATCTGCGTCATCTGAGGGCTGGTCCGTGTTCTCAACAGCCACCCTCCCTGATCCACCTCCACCTGTGACGTTCGAAGGAACCTGTGCTCTTCCCCAGAAGGCCATTCTTCAGACTCCACTCTCCCACCCTCGTGACGTCATCAGCCACCAGTTGTCACACCAGGACCCTGGGAAGCACAGCCGGTTTCCCCCTCTCCCTCACTGCCCCCGTCCACTGATTCTATCCACAAAACCGTTAGAAACCTCCCACATCCCTCCATCTGCCCTGCCAGCACCTGGTGACCCCAGCCACCGGCATCTTCACCTGGGTGACTGCACAGCAACCGGGTGGCCCCGCCCCTCCCCTCCCCTCCCCTCCCCTCTGCCCTGGCAGCAACATGTGATCCTGAGACACAAACAGATCAGGCCAGTCCCTGCTTTAACCCTTCCAGGGCATCCCCACTCCACGGCTGCCAAGACCCACTGTGGTCTCGTCCCCACCCGCCTTTCTAACCCCACTTTGCCTGGTGGCACAATGGCCGTCCTCCAGACACCCCCCTAGCCAAGCGAAGCACTCTCCCCGCCCCCACCCCCCGCAGTCCCTCAAGTCTCAGTCTAAAGAGAAACCCTGCATAAGACAGGTCCACCTGCCTCGCTTGGCACTGTCTCCTTCACAGCACTTAACACAACCTGCATCACTTCGGAGTCTGCCTCTGGCTCTGCACCGTCTCTACCGTCGTCCCTCTCCCCTCACTGTACTGGGACCCGAACCACTGCATCCACCAAGTACCACCAAAGGTGCCGCTTCTGCGTTCTAGGGGCACTGGTCCTGGGGGAGGGCAGGCAAGCACCCAGACACCCGTGTTCCGCCTCGGCTACTTACATTTCTGCAGCGCCCTCTGGTACCGCCGGCCCTGGGTGTGCCTCAGCACGTGCTCTGGGGACTTGTTGATGTGCCGCAGGGTGAGTTTGCAGAACAGCTGGTGCCTAAGGGGACAGTTCACAAGCAAGGATCCAGACCCATGGTTCTCCACCCTGGCCTCCCCCCGACAGACTGACAGGGGAGGTCTACCACGTGGCTGGGGCATCAGGATTCTTAAAAGCTCCCAAGCAACTGCAGTCCGCAGCCGGGTTGGAGAAGCACTCATCCAGGCGGACTGCGGCCTCTCACCGTCTACCTGGAATACAGGCCTCACCAGCCTCGCCGGACTCTGCTCCAGCACGAGAGAGGCACGTCGGCGAAAGCATGGCAAAGTGCTCGACAGTGGGAGCGTCTGCCAAGCCCCTCTTCGTTTTGACTACTATTGTCAACCGTGCGCTCTCAGCTAAATCAAACCTCTCCTTTAAACTAAAGATAGGGAAACGACCGCGTTCAGAACCTCAGGTGACCAAGCACAAGCGCTCCAATCCTCTTGAAGCAGCCAGGCCCAGGTGACAGACCTCACGTTTACAAAAAAGCAAACGTGCACGGGGGACGGGCCTCACTTGAGATCCCAGGTGACTCACAGCTCCAGGACGCCCACCTGATCTCAGGTCTCCTATCTCACGGGAGGGTGGGCGCTGCAGAACAGGCCGCGTCTTTGAGGAGCGCTCACCCAGCGGGGAGGGGTCGGGGCTTTGGAGTCTACCCAGCTCCGGCCAGACTCAGCACTAGGAACTGTCCCACCCTAGGCCTCCGGGGCAGTGTCGGGCCCGCCCCGGCCAGGCCCAGCCACGTACGGGTTCTTGGTGCTGGGCACAATGTGCGGCTCGAACTCGGCGTAGTCGAAGGCCGGGGAGGCGCGGACCAGCCGCCGGTACTTCTTGCCGCGGGTGTAGACCTGGAGCTCCGGCAGGCGGCAGGGCAGCTCGTGGCCCGTCAGAGCGCACCTCACCTGCGGGCGGGAAGGCGGGGCGGTCAGGGGGTCTGGGCGGTCTGAGGGCCCGGGGCCCGTCGCGGGGGGTCCTGTGCTCCCCGCCCACCTTGCGGGCGCCGGGCTCCAGCCGCAGGCTCGGATGCTCCCGCAGGAAGGCGCATACGTCGGCCGGCGGCTCGATCATGGCTCGGCGCGCGCGGAGCTGGAGGCCGAACGTCGCTCGAACCACGTGGGCCGGGGGCGGGGCCGGGCGGCGCCCCGGAAGCAGACGCCTCCAGATCCCGGAAGCGCGCGCTCGGGCGGGGAGATGGCGGCGGCGCGGGGGCTGGGGCTGCGAGCGGCGGGGCTGGGGTCGCTGCTGCGGGCGGCGGGCACGGGGCCGGTGAGCGGAGCGGGGTGGCCGGGCTGGGGGCGCGCGCCCGGGCTGAACGAGCTCAGCCGGCCCCTCGCGTCTCCGCAGGCCCCGGCCCGCGCCGTCCGGAGGAGCGCCCTTGGGGTCATCTCGCGCCCAGGTGAGGACTCGTCCAGGGATGCCCTCGGCATCTGGGAAAGCCGCCCCGTCCGTCCGTGCCTCCGCTTTGCCGGGGCGCGTGGCGTCACGATAAGCCCGGGAACTGCCGCCCGAGCCTCTGAGTCGGGCCCTGGGTGCGCGCGGGCTCTGGCGGGCGCTGTCGTCCGCGCTGCCGCCGGACACGCTCGTCCCGAGACGTGCCATAACCGCCCCACGGCTCCTCGGGCTGATGCGGGGCCAACCCAGGACGGAAACTGTGTGGGCTCCTAAAGGAAAGCCTAGCTAATCACCACAGTTTGCATGTTGCCTCCAAGGCACAGCAAAGGGTACTTGTCTGTAGAGTGCCGTGCACACTGTAAAGGCACGTCGCAAGCCTGCTCCAGGCCTGCCTTTTTACCATCCTCCAGGCCCGTAATGCTTTCCGTTGATGGGACTCACCCTCTGAGAGCCTAAATGTACTTCCTGTGTTTGTTTTGCCGACCTTAAATTTATGAACGATGAAAAAGAACAGCTGTTCTGAGTTCTGTAAACCACTCTCCAGAGTGTATCACAGTCAGCCTGCGGAGCGCAGTAGCCTGCACCCGTGCACCTTCGTGACAGGGTACATCTCAGCATATTCTTGCACAAAAGGCGAGAGGTGGTTCCATGAGTTACCCAGGGTCATGGTTGGTGGCAGAGCCAGGACTAAGCCCTGGATCTCATTCAGTGGGTGAATGTCCACTGAGTGGGTGTCATGCGCTGGGCACTGGGTTAGGAGCTGGGCTGGACGCATGTGCTGCTGGTGGGCTCCCGACTGCACGTGGTGGCCTGGGCCCTCTTCCTGTATCACGTTCTCTCCGGTAGTCATGGCAGCTTCAAGGAGTTGTCTGCTCCAGTTCTTTGTTCCAGGGCTTCCGGCCCCATGCCCGTGTTGTGACATCTACTAGGGTTGGTCTGGAGGCCCAGCAGGTGTGGCAGCTCTTCAGCCGAAGCAACTGCCGCAAAAACGGAAGACGACTCCTTCCTCCAGTGGTTTCTGCTTCTCATACCTGTGACTGCCTTTGGCCTGGGGACGTGGCAGGTAAAGCCTGACTTCTCGCGCTCCTGGCTCTCAGCCCTTGACTCTGCTGCCACCTGCTCGGGCTTATGCCCTGTGTCCGTAGGTCCAGCGCCGGAAGTGGAAGCTACAGCTGATCGCAGAACTAGAGTCTAGAGTTATGGCCGAGCCCATCCCACTGCCCGCAGAGTGAGTGTGTGAGGCCGCCCCGCCCCCCCGGGGCTGGGGCTCAGGTGAGGTCAGCAGTGGGGCCTGGCTGCTGCCACCCTTCCCGACCCTGATGGGAGCCCTCAAAATCAGTGGTCCTGCTAGGCTTCCTGTTGACACCCGACTGCCCTTGTGAAGCTGCCTGACATAACGTACACAGACAGATCTTTGAACCTGGGTTTCGCGCCTTTTCCAGGCCCAGTGTAGCTGAGGGACCCCCGCACAGTGCTGACGGCTTTCTGCAGCAGTAATTCCTAGCTGGAGGGGAGGGCACGCACATGTCAAGTCTGGACATGAGAATGGTACTGTGAGAAAACGCGCAGGCAGTCGACTGCCTTCTCCCCTCATTTAAAAGCACTGTCCTAGGAATTCCCTGGTGGTCCAGTGGTTAGAACCCCAGGCTTCCACCGCAGGGGGCCCTGGTTCCATCCCTGGTCAGGGAACTGAGATCCCACAAGCTGTGCGGCACAGCCAAAAAAAAGGCACTGTCCTAAGAGTGCCAGCTAAAATCACAAAGCTTTCCAGACAGAGGAGCAAACAAGTGGGTCACATTCGGCTTGCAGACGACGGTTTTGGCCCACGTATTTTATCGTGTTCACACGGGAGGCCACAGCTTTAAGCTTTTCTTGAAAACATGGACTGTTGGGCAGCACAGATCCACGTTCCCATGTGGCATCAAAGGGATCAGCTTCCCCCTTTGGAGGGCGCATCACGCAGACCCCACTGTGGCGGTGTGTCCCCTTCTACATTGCTTCTCAGGCCACGGTGGGCTTCGTGGTTTGCAGACCCTTGAGAGGGTCTGTCTTCCTGCCAAACCTTGCTTGGTCTCAGCTCCTCCCCTCTCTTGTAGCCCGATGGAACTGAAGAACCTGGAGTACCGGCCAGTGAAGGTCAGGGGGCACTTTGACCACTCTAAAGAGCTGTACATGATGCCACGGACCCTGGTGGACCCGGCCCGGGAGGCCCGGGAGGCCGGCCGGCTCTCGGCGGCGGCTGGGAGTGGTGCCTACGTGGTCACTCCCTTCCACTGCACTGCCCTGGGGTGAGTGGGACGCGGGGGAGCTGACCGGCCTGGCAGATGCGGTCCTTCCCATCTCCTTCATTCTCAGCCCCCAGCCCTGGGGAATCCAAGAAACCCAGATAAGCTCGACTCCTTGGGAGTTTGAAATGTGTAATTCTGACATTATTAAGCCAATTGACTTATGACTGAACAACGCCTGCCTGTTGAGCTCTGCAGGAAGGAGAGGTGAACAAAACAGGCTCTGGAGAAGCCGTCCATGCATGGCGCACACGTTTACCGCTTAGGGTGCAGCCTGAGGGGCCGGCAGAGGAACTCACGAGAAAGGAACCCCCAGCCCTGCAGGGGGGGAGTCGACTCGAGGAAGGCTTCCCTGGGCTCTTTGGGTCAAATAGTGAGTGAGGAGATGGGCGGAGTATCCCAGGGGAAGGTGACATGTACACGTTGGGGGCTCTGCAAGTGCAAGACCGGTAAGTAGAGCAGCTTCCCAACGGTAACATACAAATGAAACCCCAGGTCCCTTGTCAGCCCCCAGCTTTCTGGTTTTAGGTCTGGGATGGGCCCCGACGCTGCGGCTCGGGGACGCCCCTGGTTAGGATGGGAGATTGTGAGCAGACACGCGAGGCAGCAGTTGGAGGCGGCGGGGCGTGTGCGGCAGGTGGAGCACACAGCAAGCAGAGGCTGCCGCTGCTGGTGACGGCGGCGGTGGCGCAGAGGCCGTGAACCTACAGCACTCAGGGTCGCAGGCACCCCTCCCCCGCTCCAGCTAGCTCTACTAACCCGTAAACCCTTACCCGTGGTCCGGGAGGGAGGTGCCAGAGTGACCATTAGTGACCACCTTTATTCAAAAACCATCCCCTACCTGAAACAGCACGCTCTTACTACTCTAGAGTCACCATCCTGGTAAACAGAGGGTTTGTGCCCAGGAAGAAAGTGAATCCAGATACGCGGCGCAAAGGCCAGGTAAGGGGCGTGAACCCGTTCCCCTGTAGGAACCAATGCAGGCTCCATGCAGGGCCCCACAGAGCATCTCACACCTTCCTGGGCAGGTTGAGGGAGAAGTGGACCTAGTCGGGATGGTGAGGCTGTCGGAGACCAGGAAGCCCTTTGTTCCCGAGAATAATCCCGCAAGGAACCACTGGCATTACCGGGACCTGGAGGCCATGGCCCGGCTCACAGGCGCGGAGCCCATCTTCATAGATGCCGACTTCAGTACGTCGTGAGCAGGCCCTGTTCTAGCTTCCTCTTGACCCTGGACAGCTCCCCGGCACTTCCGCCCCAGCGCTCGTCTTGGTGGAGCGGGAGTGTGCTTGACAGGCGCTAAGAGGAGGGCGACACGAGGGGGCTGGCTGACTGGCCACTAAGTGCCAAGCAGCTGGTAGCACAGGCCCCGGTGAGGACACAGCCCACTGTCCCCGCAGAGAGCACAGTCCCTGGAGGACCCATTGGAGGGCAGACCAGAGTGGCCCTGAGGAATGAGCATATGCAGTACATCATCACCTGGTGAGCCCGGGCTCCGCCCACTCCTGCTCGCCCCACCCTCCCTTCAGCCCCGACAGCGCTCACTTTCTTTCAACCCAAGGTACGGACTCTGCGCGGCCACCTCGTACCTGTGGTTTAAGAAATTCCTAAGCCGGACTCCTGGTGTGTGAGGAGGCTGGCGGATGTAGCCCAGTCCCTGAACAGCTGAAGCCATTTCAAGAGACTCGACTTTAGGCTGATAACGTGTTACTGGTATAAATAAATCTCGACACCGCATGTGTACCGCCTTCCTTCCACCCAAATGAACTAGTCGATCTAAGATCCGGGCTTGGTTCAGTGTATTCAAGGTATCAAGTACCGCTTGGCCTTTTCAAAACTGGACCAACACACAAGTGCTGCCCTATGAGGGATAAGGACGCAGGGTTCACTTGCCACTGCCCCAACCTTTTAGCCCAAAATGCCCAACACTGGCTGAAGAAGAGGTTTTTTATTATTATTTTTATGTACAGAAAAATCAATAGTGTACGCTTAGCCCAGTTTGGTGGCCAGTTCTTTGGCCTTTGCCTTTTCCAGCTTGGCGATGCGAGCCACTGATTTGGGACCCAGGATGTTGCCTCCCCAGTGACGGCGGATCTGTAACAAGAAGACAGGCAGTCAGCTCGGCGGGTCATTTCACGCATTCTATTGGGTTGTTCCAAGTTGACTGGCAAATACAACTGCTCAGAAAGAGCCGAGAGCCAGGCAGTTTCTGACTAAGACGCAGCTTTTACCAGAAGACAGTATTCTGTGTGAGTGTGCTACCTACCTCATCGTATCTGTCGTTGTAATTGGTCCTGATGGCTTCCACCAGCTTAGCCAGAGCACCTTTGTCTTCCCTAACAAGGCAGAGGGGAAAATGGGGGTCATTGGCCTCTCAGTTACCCTTCCAGAAGGCAGCAGCGACTCCCTTTTTAGCTCCAACACAAACCTCCTGCCTCAGACGACAACATGACAACATGGTTTATTCAGGTGAAGAAATTCATAACCATCATCGGCAGAAGTTCAGAAAAAAGTATTTTTTTTGCGGCACGCGGGCCTCTGCTGCGGCCTCTCCCGCTGCGGAGCACAGGCTCCGGACGCGCAGGCTCAGCGGCCATGGCTCACGGGCCCAGCCGCTCCGCGGCATGTGGGATCCTCCCGGACCGGGGCACGAACCCGCGTCCCCTGCGTCGGCAGGCGGACTCTCAACCACTGCGCCACCAGGGAAGCCCGAAAAAAGTATTTTAAGGTTGGTCTTTAAGCTAAGATCCCGAGAAATTAAGCAAACTTGGGGGTGGGGGAAGGCTGTCCCCTAGTGATTCTTGGGAATTCTGGGCTACACTGCACACTTACGAGTTGACTTGTGTGAAGGCCACGGTGGTGCAGGTCTTCCTGTGGACCAGACGCCCCAGCCTAGCCTTGCCCTTGATGATGCAGTAGGGAACCCCCATCTTACGGCACAGGGCAGGCAGGAAAACCACCAGCTGGAAGACAGCGTTAGCTCTAGAGAGTATCTTGAGCAAAAGCAGTAACTTAAAAGCTAACGTGGTAGCAATTGCTCAGGGTTAAAAAGCTCCTACACTTGTACTTCAAGGTGTAATTCAGTGAGAGTGTCACATCATTGCAACAGCCACGAGATGGCTCCTGTCAGGACTCCTTAGACGGAAAGCTGACAGTGCTCTCCACCCTGCTAGGGCCTCTGCCAGACCGAGTATTTAGCTTTGAGCTGTCTTCCTGGTACAAACAAGGACCCAACCAATCTCAGTCCAGCAGTCAACGCTTGAGAACAAGTCACACATACCTCGATGGGATCCACGTCATGTGCGATTACCACCAGCTGAGCCTTCTTGTTCTCCACCAAGGTGGTGACAGTATTAACCCCTAGAACATACAAGCAGTCTGTGTGGCAGAGGGGTGGGGCTTCTGGGCACAACAGCACTTGCACCGGGGGCCCCGCCATGACTCAGGGTTAAAAAGCTCGGATTTTACTCTTCACAGCGATTCCAGGTGAAGAAGTTCATGCATCATCGCCAAGAGCCTGCCCCACCATTCAGCCTCTTCAAGGAGGGGCCCACTCACCTGCTCGGAGGACAGGTGGCCTCTTGGTGGGGACATCCCCTTTGCCCGCAGCTTTCTTCTCAGCTCGGGCCAGCAACCTCTGCTTCTTCACTTGCTTTGTCTCTGGTCTGTACTTGTGGGCCAGCTTAAGCAGTTGAGTAGCTGAAAAAAAACTGCCAGTCAAGTCGGTAGTTTAAAAGATTACATCACTTAACCGTATAAATGCTAGGTCACTGTCCTGAATACAACTGCACTTCAAGAGACCTCAGATCGTATACGTTATCTCTTCAGTATATCACGTTCTGGACACTAGACAAGGAATCCTACGTTTTAATAAACTAACGTACTGAAGATACCCACGGCCCCTTTACAGGCCTCAGCTCTACCAGTGTCCCAGTAAAGGTGGCAACCGTGCCCAAGAAATCCCTTCCCCACGCTGCGCTTCTGCCACAGGACCTCACCTGTTTGGCGGTCCAAGGCCTGGGTGAATTGGTTAATGGCGGGAGGTACTTTCAGCCGCTTATAGAGGATAGCCCTTTGCCGCTGCAGGCGGATGTAGCGGGGCCATTTGACAAAGCGGGTGAGGTCCCTTTTGGGCTGGATGTCCTGTCCTGAGAAGTAAAGGGCAACACTGTGAGGCTCAAACTCCCCGTCCAGTTCGTGTTTAGGGCCACTCAGAAGGGCGTAGGTGCATCAGCGATCTCGGTGCTTTCAAGTGGCATCACCACGTCTCAGCAAACATTCTTTTGCATCACCTGCACGCCAACACCTAGGATCACAGGGGACACTAGCGACACCTCTCCTCATTCAACAAGCAGCCAAGGCGCATGTCAGTACCGCAGTCCCACCGCCTCCGCTCTGGCAGAGCTGGTTTCGTGACGGCCCAGCTGAATCCCAAGGCCAGTATCTGGGCTCCACACTGCCACACGCTCAGGCCCTTACAGCGCGGCCACGAAGGATGCGCCGTCACTGCCCCCTCTCAGAGGGAGAGATTAAGAGCCGAGCCGGGTTACAGCTAGAAAGCGGCGAAAACGCGAGAATCCCCATCCAGGTAGCCTCGACTCCAAACTCACTGAATTCTAGCAAGGCCAAAACATAACCTTCTGTTCAACCAGCCGCTTTTCTTCGTTGGGGGATACCATTTAAACAGCCGCTTTCAACATTTCCCGTCTCTTACTCACCAATGCCAAAATTCTTGGGCCTTTTCTCGAACAAGGGGTTGACCACCTTCTTCGCCTCCTGCTTCTTCACCACAGCAGGGGCCGGGGCCACCTTCTTACCCTTGGCCTTCTTTCCCTTCGGCTGGGCAAAAGAAAACACCCAGTTCAACCGCCGCCTCCCCAACAGTCTCTCTTAAGAGGGGTGGGTCCCGAGCCGGCCCCCAGCATCCCCGTGAGCAAACCGGGCCCCAGCCGCAGGCGCCGCGGGCCCAGGGACCGCCCCCCCGCTCGTGCATCAGCGATCTCGGTGGTTAGAGACGTCCTCACCGCCACTCAGATAGCAAATATTCTTTCACATCACCTGCACGAGCCTCAACCGCCCCGCGGCCCCTTTCGGAGCGCGGCAGGCTCCAAACAGCAGAGGCAAAGACTGAGAACCCCCTGCCCAAGACCCCAGGCGGCCCCCGGGACGGAAGAGCCCCCGGGGCGCTGGAGCGCCTCGGCCCCGTCAGCCACGAGCCCCGCATGGCGGCGCTGCGCACCCCGGATCCTCCTCCTCCCCAGGCCCGGCTGCCGAGGAGTCTATGCGGCCCCAGTGCCTCGAAGCGAGGCCCCGCGGGGCTCCTCTCGCGCTGGGTCGTGGAGGGATCCCTGCGCGGTCACGCCTCGAGAAGGATGGCAGCGGATAGAGCCCGGATCCGAAAGCCAGCATCGCCGGCACCAAGCACACTCACCATCTTGAACGGTTGGCGGAGAAAGAAAGGAAAGGGAATTGTGGGTAATATGTATGCGACCTCGGAGATCGCGAGAACTAAAGCCTGTACGGGATTTCGGATTTAAAGCGACAGAACTTTCTTCCGCCCGGCGGGCGGCGCCTAGAGCCGGACGACGGGTCTGAGCTGCTTGGAAAGGGACGCGGAGAGGCGCCGGGGAGCCGGGACTTCTCCGGAAGGGCGCGCGCTCGTCCCCAGCCCGCCCTGGCCAGGTACCCGCCGGTCCCCGGCTCTGCGGACCAGGTGTGGGCGTTGGGGCGGCGTGGCGGCGGTGTCGGCGATCTTCTCGTGCGATTTACTCCAAAGTGGCTTAAGAACCGCGAGTTCGGTCGGGGGGCCACCCGGGCCGGAGCACGCGCAGCCCGGAGGCACCTGGCGCGGGGCGGGAGGGTGGTCCCAGCAGAGACCCCGGAGCTCAGGAGCCCAAGAGGTCCCGTGGTGCGGCCCCCGGGGGTCCCGGCGTGGAGACGAGGGCGGCGGATTGGGGGTGAAGGCCAAGTGCGTTTGGAGGAGGTGGGGTAGGATCCGAGCGGCTCCTCGGGTGAGGAGTAGGGCAGAAGTGCTGGCGGGGAAGCGGCTGGCCAGGGCAGGTGGGGGACGTGCGTGGGCCTGGCCTCTGAGAAGGCTGCGCCGGAGCCCATCAGGGTGTCGTCGGGGTTCCGGGGAAGGGGCGCGGGCCGGAGGAGACGCCGCAGTGCACTGTGTGCGGATGCTTGGACGAGTGTGTTTGGCAGACAGGGAATCCCCGGAGAGCTGCGGGTCCTGCCGAGGCGGGGGCCTGGAGGGTGGGAGGCTGGGGTTCGCTCGCTCACACCAGACTCTGGGCCCCAGGTGCCCCCTGTCTTTGCCCGAGGCCCCGCCATGGCCCAGCAGAGAGCCCTGCCGCAAAGCAAGGAGACGCTGCTGCAGTCTTACAACAAGCGGCTCAAGGATGATGTCAAGTCCATCATGGACAACTTCACTGAGATCATCAAGACCGCCAAGGTGGGTGGGGGCCGCCGGTCTGCTGCCCCTTCTGAGACCAAGGGAAGTAGCAGGGTCTAGAGATTGTGGACAGTGGTGAACGGAGCCAGGGTGTCTGCTTGCAACAGCATCCACTCAACATGGCTGCTCCGGGCCAGGTGATGGCGATATACCAGGGAACCCTTGTCCCCATGGGGAGAACATTTGGGAGAGCCGCAAGGGGACTGACAATAACAAACAGGTCAACAGATAAATAAACTGGCCAATTACAGGTCCTGGTGAGGCAGTTGTAGGGGACTCCAGTCACATTGCCGGGATCCAACGTCCAGCATCACTTACTAGCAGCAAGGGCTTGGATGAGGTCTTGACTTCTCAGTGCCTCAGTTTCCCCTGCATCGTAGGGTCCTTGTGATGACTGGAGGAGTTTATCTGTGTAAAGCGGTTACCATGGGGATTATTGCGAGCGCACGCGGTCAGGGAGAGAAGCCGGGGAAGGCCTCCCAGGTGGGTAGAGTGGTCAGTGTCTGGTTCCGGTCAGGCAAGCCCGCTGACCGGATTGGGGCAGGATCTTTGCATGACCGCTGCAGACCTGTAAGGCTTGTTTGAGCATTGAGAGTGACGATGAAAGCTAGAGTTTATTTAGTGCTCACCACGTGTCAGGCCAAGCCGAGAGGGCCCTTTGTGTCCCGTCCCATTTAATCTTCACAAGAACTCTACGGGGCAGGTACCATTGTTGTCCTCTCCCTTTTCACAGGGGGAAACTGAGGCTCAGGTTTACCAACCTGCCCAAAGTCATTCTGCTAATAACTGGCAGGGCTGGGATTTGAACCCGGGAAGTCTGGCTCCTAACCGCCTAGGGTGCCCTGACCCCTGCCCGGACCCTGGCCTGGTGGGTGGGTTGGGACAGTTAGCAGCCTAACAGGCGACGGGCGGGGCAGGACTCCTGGCTCCGCCATTTACTGCCTGAGACACCTTGAGTGTGCTCAGGTCTGTCCCGGCCTCAGGTTTCCCCGCCTGTAAACCAGGGATGGCGGTCCAGGCTTCTGTGAGTTTCCTAAGGTGATGGTCAAGTGCCTAACACAGTGCCTGGCGCCCAGGAAGTACCCGGCAAACGGTCACTTGAAAAAACACATTGTCGTTTTATTGATCCATTTAGCAGGTCAGTGAGCACCTGAGCTAGGGACGCCGTCTGTGCTGAACAGGACTCCATACCCCAAAAAAGACAGGATCAACACCTCCCCGCACCTGGCACAGCGGCTGGTGTAGTTAGGCATCCGCTGGTCCTGGTGAAGGTGCCTGTCATCTCCTTAGAACAGAGCTAGAGGGGGTGACGGTGCACGCGGCCCGAGGTCTGGTTGGCAGCGCCCAGTGCGCAGAGGGCACGATAGGCCACAGGGTGTGGCGAGTGCGGTCATGCCGCCACTGCCAGGTGCCTGAGGGCCGGGGCGCCTGCCCATTCTAGGCTTTCTTGTTTGCCCTCCAGATTGAGGACGAGACGCAGGTGTCGAGGGCCACTCAGGGCGAGCAGGATAATTACGAGATGCACGTGCGAGCCGCCAACATCGTGAGTCACCAGGTGGAGGGGACAGCCCGGGCTCCAGGAACCTTGTGGTCCCCACTGGGGTTCCCTGGGTGGGGGGCAAACCACTTCTCAGGAGACTCCGCTCGAGAGGAGGGCTGTCCACGGCAGCCGCGTAAGGGGCTGGCAGGTAGCCGGCCACGGCCATCCTGTCGAGTGCTGGGCGGTGGTTGGAAAGAGGTCACCCCTTCCTCGCTGAAGGTTCTTTACAAGTGCGGGAAGCAAATGGCCAGATGAAACGGGACGTGCATTTTGATCCCTTTCGATGTCACAGAACAAGCAGGGCAACCAAGTATTTCCATAGGTCTGTGCCCCCGGATGAAAATGCACAGGACAAGGTCCTAAAGGAATCCCCCCCCACAACTGGCAGATGTGCTGCACCTGAGGAAGAGCAGGGCAGGAGGTTGAATGGGGTGGTAGTTGGATCTGGGGTTCGAGGTTTTGAGAAGCAGAATGTGTGCTTGAATAGCACGTGAGCTTGGTGATCGTATCAGCAGGAGCAGAAGGCAGAGGCCAGGGGCGCATGGGGACTGGGGGGCTGACGGCACCTGCCTTGGTGCCAGGGACCCTGCCTCCCCTCCCCTGCCCTCCCCCCTCCCCTCCCCCTCCCCTCCCCCCCCCCCCCCCCCCCCTCTCCAGCACACATTCTGCTTC